TTTGTGGCCAGAAACTTGAAGTGGGCCCCGTAAGGCAGCCAGACAACCTTACTGCACTTCCCCAGTCTGTTCACTCTCCCCATTTAACTATTCACACCTTCTCTCTCCTCCAACCACTACCACCCCTCCCCCACCCTCACTCTCAGTTGATTGCTTGCTTCCTCTTTGGAGAAAACTAAAGCAACAAAAGAGAACCTCAACTGACCCCCACCATCTTGGTTACCCACCTTCCAGAACCTGCACCCACATCTTCTGCCCTACATCCATGAAATGTCCTTTCTGTTGTACAGTAGATTCCATACCTTATCTCTCCAACATCACTGATTATTCTTTCTCTATTGAATCATTCTCAAGTGCATGCAAACATGCTGTTATTTCTTCCAATTAAAAAAAAAACTTCTTAACCCTACTATCCCCATTTCCTCTGCTCCCCTTTGCACAAAAAAAAAAAAAAAAAAACCCTTGAAGAACTATCTCTACTCACAGTTCCAAGTCCTCTCTCTAATTTTCTCTTATACACATTTGAGTACTTTTATCCTACCTTACCTGCTCTTGCCAAGGTTCTAATCAAGGTCACCAAAGATCCCCAGTTGCCAAATTCAGTGGTCAGTCACCAGTCTTTATTTTACTTAACTTTTCAGCCGCATGGGACTCAGCTGATCCCTTCCCCTTGAAACTCTTCACTGGCTTCCAGGGTATCACATGCTCCTGGTTTTCCTCCCACCTCCCTGACCTCCTTCTTGGTCTCCCATAGTGGTTTCTCTTCTCCTCAGCCTCTTAATGTCTGAGAGCCCCAGGGTTCAGTCCTTGTTCCTCTTTTCTTCTCTACATAAATTCATTCCTTGGAGATTTCATCAGTCTTGGGCTTCAAATACCATCCAAATGCTGAAAAATCCCTAATTTATATCTCCAATCAGGTATTTCCTCTGAATTCCAGGCTTACCCTTCATCTCCAATTACATTCAACATTTCCAAAATATTATCCTTATCCCCTGCCCCCCTAAAGCCTCTCTACCTTGAAGCCTTCCACACTTCAGCTATTGGCAACTCAAAGTCAGTCAAACCAGAAAGGACAGGATCATTTTTTGCTCCTCTCCCCCGCCCCCCCTCTCTCGTAGGTGCCATATCCAATCCATCAGGAATCCCACATGGCTCTAATTTCAGGTATCTGTAGAATCTGACCACCTCTTCCCACCTGCACTGTTAACCACTCTGATGCCCAGCACCATGCTCTCACCCAGGTTATAGCAATAACATACTAACTAGTCTCTCTGCTTCCACCCCTGCCTGAATAGAGCAGCCAAACTGATCCTTTTGAAAGTCAAGTCACATCACTCCTTTGTCAACACGCCACAAAGGCTCCCCAGCCAAAGGACTTATGATGGCCTATAAGGCCCTACTTTACCTGAGCCCTGCACCCACAGTGACCTCACCTCCAACCACTCTCCCAGCTGTTCACCCCCCTTCAGCCACACAGACCTCAATGCTTTTTCTCTAGCATGCCAGACACGTTCCACCTCAGAGCCTTGCATTGGCTGTTTCCTCTGCCTGGAACATCTTCCAGATGTCCACATGTCTAACTTCTTCACATACCTCAAGGCTTTGCCTACTTGTGACCTCCTCAGTGAAGCCTCAGCTGACTTAAAAATTGCCACAATTTCTACCCAATTGCCACGATTTAAAATTGCCACAATCTCTACCCCCACCTCAGAATCTGTCATTCTTTTTACCCTGTTGTGATATTTTTTAAAAGCACCAATCACCTTGAAATAAACTACATTACTTATTTGTTTGTTTGTTCATATTATTGCCTGTCTCCACCCACTGAAACTTCAGCTCTAAAAAGGAAAACATTTTTGTCTATTTTGTTCACGGATGTATTCCTGGCACATAGGAGGTGCTCACTTAACACTTGTTGAATGGATGAATCTATTTCCCCTACCAGGCAGTAAGTAACTCGAAGCTAGACAAATGCTTCAATCATTTCTGTACCTTGATAATTATCCTGATAATATCATATATAGTATAAATTATATATTATATGTGTAATACACATATACACACATTTCTTTTTTTGTATCAGGCTAATAGAATTTCTTCCGGGCAAGGTACTCCTCTTCCTGATTGCCAGGGATGGCAGCCCTATACATTAACAGGAGGCTGATCGCTGATGCATTTTCTCAGAGGTGAGTCCCCACCTACCTCTAAAAAGGTAAATGGCATAGGTATACAGAGATCATCCTTCAGGTTTCACACATGACCAGTCAGAAAATGGGAAAGTCATCTTGTCTTCACATTAGTATACATTCCTCCCCATAGCCTTTTCCTAAATATATCCCTCCAGACTTTCCCCAAGCTGTTGCTCATTCCTGGTAACAGCTAAATCAATTGACCATATTGTACTGGTTTGCTTCAATGTGTGTGTTTACTAGTTGAAGCCTGCATTAAGGGCAGGATTATTTCATGGTGCTCGGCTGCCTGGCTCTCTTCCGGCTCTCTCCTCTCCTAGTCTCTCTTTGTGCAAAATGGCAAGCTCTTTCCACCTCTGAAAGCACGAACATCCTGAAAGTTCTTTGACGATCATGTAATTCTCTGTGCTTGTGAGATGCTGTCTTCACCGAGCTCTGTGGCCTGAAGTCAGGTAAGTGCCCATCACAAATAACTATGCCAACTGTATCTCCATCCCTTTCAGCTTCAGTTACTGTCTCAGCCAATGCCCTTCCCTCTTTTTGTCCTATTATTCTGCAAATGATACATGAGCAGTTATTTGAATGAGTCCGAAAAGATAATATGAACACGATTTTATCTAAAATGTCACTTTTCCAGGATTCCATTTGGTTTGTTCTTTATTAACCGAAGTTCCGTTGCTATAAAAATTACAATAATAAACTACTCTGAGTCTTGTAATTTCACAGCTTCTCCATTCTCTAAGCAACCAAAAATCCCATCGTTCCTAATTAAAATATTCAAAGGTGAAATCCAAGTAATCTCCACATGGAATACTAGTGCTTCCACAGAGGTTTCTAGGGTTAAAAAAGAAACCCTTTGCCAATTGGGGAAAAAAAGAAGTTTCTGAGTCTGTAGTACAAAGACTTCAAACTGCATTCCACAGTGTGTTATTTTCTTTCCAGAAAATTCTAACACTATATAATTACTTTTGTATGGAAAATGAATAATGTAAGCTTCTAAAAACAGCTAGACAGAAACCATCCAAATCAGACAGGCCTTTCCTGAAACCAAATGAAATATTAAATGAGAAAATATCTCTATGAGAACAAAGCTCTTAGATTATTATTAAATAGAGATGGAGCATAGTGGGGGAGAAAGTTCCATGGGAAAAAAAAAAAGTGTTTTCTCGTCTACGTGTCAGGGTTTGTCTGCTTCAGAGAAACTGTAACATTGCTCGGACCCCAAAATGTCACAGAAAAATACCAATCAAGAAACGCATCTAGGCTCTTGCAAGGTTTCCGGTTAAAAATAACAGCAAAAAATATCAATTAAGCTCCATCTATTGCGACAGAAATGCACTGATACAGGAAAAGCGAAATCCCACCTGCCTGGGAATTAAGCCGCAACTCGTCCCCCAATACGGAGAAAAACGAGCTTCGCTCCGGTCGCTGGCTGAACTAATTCCAGCAAAGAGAGCCAGTGGGTTTGTGTGTTGGGGGAGGGGGACAGAGTAGAGCGCGCCTCACCGCCCTCCCCCCGAAACTGCTCCAGAAACGTGAAAGCATCCGCGCCACCCGCCCTCGCTTGGCCGGGAGAAAGCCGGTGCGGAACGGAGAAGCCTCCTCGGGCTCAGAAGTAGACGCGACGTGCGGCTGGCAGCGCGGGCGCCTGGCCCTGTCGCGTCTCCCCCTTCCACCTGCCCCAACCCCAGTCGTAGGCACGGGTCTCTGAGGACCTGAGCAGTTCTTTCTCGGCCCAGGGCGGAGGACCTCGCAAAGACATTTTATTTTAGCAGGAGTAATTCCCGCGCTGGCAACGTCTCGACAGCCCGAGTGAACAAGCCCAGGCGGCCTGCGCCGGGACCCACGTCTGGCTCGGCCGCCCCCGGGCCGGCCCCACCCCCGCGCCCCCGGCCCGCGGCCGGGCACCCCGCAGGGGCTTGGGGTGGGGGTGGGGGCTGGAGGGTGGAGTGCAGCACCTAGGGCTGACTTTCCGCTAAGTAAACAGCCCCGGCAGCCTCCCCCGGTCGTAGATAAGCCAGAGGTGAGCCGGCCGACGGCGGTCGGAACGCTCACCGGGTCCCCCGCCCCGCGCTGCCCACCCCGAGGCTGCGCCTGTTAACAAACTCCTGGGCGCAAATGGCTCGGCCCCCGTTCTGTTTCGTGGTTCAGCACCGAGGACAACGGACATACTTTTCGCCCCAGCGGCCCCACCGCCGGGAGGGTAGCGTTAGCGGCACAGGCAGGGCTGCAGGTGTCCGGACGGCGCGCCCTCCCGCCTCCCACCCGCTCCGGCGCCCAGGAGCAAGGCAGCCCCGCGGCGTCTTACTTTTCTGGCTGGAGTAACCCGGATAATAGCCATAGTAGCCAGTGATCCGCAGGATGCGGTCCTCGATGGTAGCCACCCCGTTGGGGGCCGCCTTGACATCCATAGAGAGCGCGGGGCGGCGGCCCCGGGCGCGGCGGGGCGGAGAGCGCAGCGCGGGGCCCGGGAGCTGGTGCAGGTGTTGCCGCCGCCGCCGCCAGTGCTGATGCTGCAGCTCGTGCTCCCGCGCCCGGGCTCTGACTCCACCGCCCGGCGCAGCACCGGCTCCGCATCACAGCGGCGGCGGCGGCGGCGGCGGCGGAGCGGCCCCCACTCGGGCCGCCTCTCCGTCAGCCTGGCAGCTCTCCCGCCCGCCGCCCGGCGCGCCGCTGCCCGAACAGCGCCCCCTCACCTCCGACGCCCACCGCGGCCGGGGCGGGTGTGGGCGCCCCACCTGGCCGCAGACTCTCCTTGTCAACCCTTCTGCGCCCCTTCCCAGAGGACTTGACATTCCCCCCCAGCCCCACCTGCCAGAAGGGATGCTCGGTCCAGGGGCGTGGGAGGAGACGAGGTGAGATGGTGGCAGGGGCTCGGGGAGGAGGGGTGGAGATGGAAGAGACCCAAGCGGAACCAAGTGTTAATGTGAGAGGTGCACACTGTCACTCGGGGAGATGATACATCGGGGGCGCCGCGGGGTCTTGGTCCACGCTTGGCGTTTACACCACCTGGGGCCAGCAGACATGCAAGCGTTCCTAGGAGTTAATCAGTTCCCGAAACTTGCCTAGACGACAGGGAGTCTTTTCTTAAGAAATGAAAAGAAAAAAAAAAAAAAAAAATGAGGCCTCAGCAGGTGGTACGTGCAGTGAGTATCGAGGTATTGTGGACACAAAGACTTTAAAAGATGAAGCTCTGGAGTCTGACAGGCCCGGGTCCCGACCCTCAGCCCCCTGCGAAAACATCAAAGGTTTGGGAGACTCAGCTGCAGCACAGCATGTTTGTTTTGCCAATTTCAAATGCCCTTAGGAGAAATGATTTTCTCCTTTATTGCCAAAAACATCAGGGGGGAAGCCCTTCAAACTGTCAATATCTGGACGGATGAAAGTTTTAGCTACAGTCTAGAGACTTTCCACCTGAGTCTAGAAAGTCCCTGAAGCTCTGTGTTCAGAGTGAACACCCTCCCCTCAGGTGTGACTCTTCTGTTTTGCCAAGATACTCACCGGGTTACAATCAGTGAGCCTCGGGGATGATTCTTCCATTCGTAGTTTGTAGTCACAGCCTCCTGAAAAATAATTTTCAAAATTTCATCTCAGAAACTAGAGTGTGGGGGGATGGGAGGATGGGGGTCGGGGGTCAGTTCATCAGCTTAGAGGTCAATAGGTCCACCTTAACCCCAGACCCAGTTGAAGATGTCCCTGCCAGATTTCACATTTCTAAAACTTAGGTGGGGGGGGGGGGCGTTGGCAAATTGACTTCAGAGCCCCCTCAGAAACCTCCAAAGAACCTATCACACAGCATTCTGCCTTCAAGCATTTTCCACATTGTACTTGCGTCTTTAAGAGGGAAGAAATGTTGCAAACTTTTTAAAAGATGAATGAGATTTAAGCATATGAAAATGCAGTATTAAATTTCACAATGTGTTAAGGGTTTTCATCCAGACACAAAGCCTAGCACAGAATCCTGCGAGTGGAGTGTATCTGAAGTGATTATGGCTGGGAGGAGGGTTCATAAAGAAACCAATTTCCTCCCACACCTGCTTTCTGGGCATGGAAACATGGAAGGATGGAAGGAACTAAAAGGTCAAAATGAACTTAAAGGAAAAAGCAACTCTGGTGCAGTGGTGAGGAGCCAAACATTTAAAGCAAAAATGGAAGGACTATGCCTTACACTCTGCTGCCCACCCCCACCTGGAAAGTGATCTTCAGCACACTTTTGTTACTTTTATTCTTTTTCTTTTTCTTTCTGTGGCAAACATTAAAATGCATGCATTGTACATGGTAAAATGGGTTGATCACATTACTTTAAGACATTCCTTTAAAGTTTCTATAAAATGAATTTGCCTGTATTATATCATATGTGTTTAATAACATCAGTCCATAGCATATTAATATATAAATGATTCAAAGAAACTACTCAAGCAAAAGCCTTTTAATGTAATATGAATATGCACAGACTTTAAGAACAAGTGTTTTTGTCCTATTAATGCTTATAACTTATTTTACCATAATGTATTTAAGTTCTAAATTACACTTATCATTTAAGTTGGTGCCTTCTTCCTAGTTTTGCTTTGTTTCCAGAAATTTCCAGAGTAGTGGTTAGAATTATACTTAACTGAATCTCATCATTCGTACAAACAGCAAATTCAGCATAAATTTAAATAATGTAAACATTATACCCACAAGAGTCTGTTTCCTAAAAGAAATTATTTTTAAAATCTCAGACTGACCTGGAAATTAATTTTTTAAATAGCAGAACATTTACAAATGCCTCTGTAATCATCTGTAATAGGGTAACTAAAACAGTAAATGCAAACACATGCCACCAACTTGGACACACTTTTTTTTTTTAATGGAGCTGAAATTTTACAATTATAGATTGATCAACAATGAAAAGTAAATTTCTGCTACTGATAAGCACTCTTTGTTGCACATGATAACAGTTTTTTAGCCTTTCAAATGCCACTTTGCAGATCGTTAAAATTTTATAGAGATTATTTTGAAGGGAAGAGAATTCTTAAAAACATTTTTATATGTTTGCCTGCTCAGCCTACCAGTTTTCATAAACCCCAATACAAAAATTCAAATTTACAAAATGTGAAATATCAGTGTGCCCCAAATCTATTCTGAAAAAAATCGGAAAGGTACAATTAAGCCAAAGACTAAAGGTAATTGTTTGATTCAAAAAATGGTTCCTCATAGTAGCCAGTTTACATAGCCAATTTCCCTATTAAATTAAGTAGTAAATCAGTTTTCCGGGTAGACCATAACTCAATTTAGAAAAATTTGGTTTGTGTGCAGGAATATTTTTAATGCAGTAGCACAGGGCATCTGTCTGTGATTCCAAGTGAGTTTTAATATCTGGACCATATTTATTTTGATCATCTGACCGAGTCACATTAGGTATTTATACTAATTGAGTATATAAAACTTGACCATTTGTGTTGTAAAAAAAAAAAAAAAAAAAAGCCATATCATTTGTAAAATAGTTTATGTGATAGTCACTTATAACTTTGTGTCTAATGCTAAAATAAGTATACCAAGTAATAACATTAAAAACTATGATCACTGAACATAAATTCTATTCTAAGATATATTCTGTCATAAAATCATTTTAAAATACTACATCATCCTTTAAACTTTGGAAGAGTTAGTAAAATAAAATCCATGGAATCTAGTCTTCTTTACTATGATTAGAAGCTGGAGGCCAGAAAATCTGGGTTTTAGTCCTCTTCCCATGGCAGGAACAAGTCACTTCATCTTTTGACCACCTATTCGGAATTACCAATAAAGGATGCTGAAAGAAGGGAATCTACTATAGTGTACCCACCTCCTTGAGCTAAGAGTAACTTAGCTGTTTGGAGAGCCAAGAATGGTTTAAGTTTTAATACCCAAGGGCCAATGTTGCCTTGTATAATCATCAGCACTATTTACAGATTTGACCCCAGGTAGTTTGCACAGTGTTTGTGTTTAAAAGCATCTGGCATCTAGCCAACCAGGTGATAAGCACTAGCATCTGGAAAGAAAAAAATGTAGTCTTCATATTCCATTTTCAGGATAGCTGTTTTGAGCATTTAACCACTCAGTATCTGTCTAAGAAATCAGGGCAGAGTCCACTCTTCATTGACCTCTGGTACTAGGTTCCATCACAGGACTATTTCTGAAGCTTAATTCCTTGGAAATGCACTGAAATCCTTTGGAGATAGTTTGAAGTAATTTCAACAAATACACTCAAATTTTAGAATATATGACGTGTGTGTATCACTCCCTCTTTTTTCTTACCTCATCCCTCAGCCGTATAGTACAGCGGTTTAGAGCATGGACTTTGAATCCAGACTGCCAGGCGTCAAATCTGGTCTCACCATTTTCTAGCTGTGTGACTTTGAGCGAGTCTCTTAAACTCTATGACTCAATTTTCTCATCTGCAAAATAGGACTATCGTGCTGTTAAAAAGAAAACGACAGGCCCAAAATGGTGTCACTTAAGCTAAGTCACCAGATCTGGACTTAATACCTAACCGAACTGCAGTTTCAACTTCTCCCAGAAATGTAGTCTTAACTCTTCTTCAGTCAGGAATTTTCTGATCAACATCAATGAGGATTCTGTCACATGGGTCCCCTCCATCCCCGAAAGGAAGATGAGGTAAGCCACCTAATGAGACTCCCTGCCCTTACCCCAAGGGAAGGTGACCTTGCCTGAAACAATGCTTTCTTTTCCTTTGCTAATAACTTCGTGCCTTACTCTCCTTCCTATAAAAACCTTCCCATTTTGTAGAACTCTTGGGAGCTCCCTTCTACATGCTAGATGCTGCTTAATAGAACCAATTAGGTCTTTAAAATTTACTTGGTTGAATTTTGTTTTTTAATCGTATCTACCTCGTGGACTTATTGTGAAGATTAAATGATTTTATATTCATAAAGACCTTATAACAGTGGTTGGCATAGAAAAGCATCATAAATGATAGCTACCATTATTATTTTGTTTTATGGACACGTAGAACACTTTGAGCTTCAGTTTTCTCATCCATAAAATGGGCCCAAACTCTCTACTTAATAGTGTTGCTGTAAAGGGTAAGTGAGATAACATATGAAAATATCTTACCAAGGGGGCGCACGGGTGACTCAGTCGGTTAAGCTTCCGACTCTTGATTTCAGCTCAGGTCATGATCTCAGGATCATTGTCTTGAGCCCCGAGTCTAGCTCCCCACTGGGTGTGGAACCTGCTTAAGATTCTCTCCCTCTCCCTCTGCTCCTCCCTGCTCATACTCTCTCTAAATAAATGAGTAAGTAAGGAAAGAGAGAGAGGAAGGAAGGAAGGAAGAGAAAGAAAGAAGGAAAGGAAGAAAGAAAGAGAGAAGAAAGAAAAACTTAAAAAAAAAAAAATCTTACCAAGGTATGGTACATAGTAGGTGCAAAATAAATATCAATGTCCTTCTCCTAACCCTACCTTGCCCTGTCCATTATCTATTACTAAAGTTAATTCACTTGAACATTTCATTCACATTATTAGGAGTATCTGTATCAGTTGCTGTTAGGAGTCTCCTTGAATCCCTTCAACCATGACAACTATCACGTGAGGCAGATCTTGGCATCACATTGGCAGACCAATGGAATAGGTGGGCTGCATAATTTGAGTGCTTTGCAGAAAATGTAGATGCTCTGGGTCAGCAGTTCTTCCTGTCCTTTGAGAAGGCAGGAGGACCCAGAGAATATATGCTTAGGGCTGATAATGGCACAAAGGTTGGTGGTCCCAGGCATGGGAGGGACTCTGGTTCTGCTTGATGGTCGTGCCCCAGGGAAGCGGAATGGCCCCAGAGAGATCACAGGGTGGTGCCCTGAGAGAAGGCTGGGCCTTTAGCCCTGGTCTTCCCAGCCTCTGTAGAGATTCTGGTGCCTCCAAGCTTAGACCAAGGGCAGCAGAGCTGCCAGCCCCAGAGCTGTGGAATGTGGGCTTGGCCAGTGTACATCTCAGCAGAGACGAGAGGACTGAAGACAAGCGTGTCTCCCTGATGCTTGAGCTTAGCCAAAGATCGCCCCGACTGCATAACCCTGCAGCAGGGAAGCCCCAATAACACGGAGACTGCATCTTCCACTATTCTTATTGGCTAATAAAGATTTACTTAACCTTTTTAAAAAAAAAATTATTTATTTGAGAGAGAGAATGAGAGGGGACACAGGGTCAGAGGGAGAAGCAGGCTCCCCACGGGACTCGATCCTAGGACTCCGGGATCATGACCTGAGCTGAAAGCAGACGTTTAACCGACTGAGCCACCCAGGCACCCAAAGATTTACTTAACCTTTTTAAATAGATGCGTTGCTGGTTATACGTTCAAACCTGCTACACAGTCATTTTACAAATAAGACTTTAATTTCAACATCTAAAAACGCCAGGCATGCCACTGCCTCAAACATACTGCATATTATTTATCTCACAAGGCTTTCTGTAACATTACCTGCTAAAAATGTCAGACCTGCTGTGGGAGTCGTTGGCACTATTTGTCAAATATCCCTGGTTCGCCTTTATTTTAGGCCTACCACAGCATTGGCTTTCTGCCCCCTTGTGGTTGTACGGGGGCCCCGTGGCTGATTCTAGTGAATGGAGCGAGCTGGTACAAATCACCCAGCTCTCTCTTTCCTCTGGCATGGTGACCATAAACATTCAAGATGACTTTGACCCATAAAAGTCAAGTTACTAAAAAATTAAAATAAAAAAAGTTTGAGTTCCTTCTCAAAACACTGTACTTCATTTTCAAATCTTTTCTTCATCCTTTGTTTTCCAAGGGCATACTGTGCATGTTTATATGTTCACCAGTTTCTGAAACAATTATCAATAAACAATAGTGAAGACAAAAGAGTAGGAAAGAAGCAGTATGAATGGTATGGGAAATCAGAGAACAGAACATTTAAAACTCATTAGAATGTTATCAACAAGGCAAAGAGAGTCCAGAATATCTATATATTCAATACATCCCTATCTTGAGTAACTATTGCCGAAAGCAATCTCAGGAATGACTTTGCCTTTGGCTTCCAAACTATTCGTTTGCAAGCAATATGTTCACAAGGTTTTATTTCATCCGTATTTTCAGTGGCAGTGATAGCCAACAATAAACTTGCTCCTCGAATACACCAAGATAAGGCAGACCATCAGTCCTGAAGTGGACATTTGCCTTTTATTTTTCCGGCTACCAGGCTGATGTCAGAGGAGCCCCTCGATTACCAGAAAGAGTACACCTCTCAAGAGAAAAACTAAAAGGTTGTAGCAAATACCTTTCATGCTTTAATTCATCTGCTCTTGCTTCACCTTTGCAGTGGCCAGCTCTCTGTGGATTCCCATCAACTTCACACGGACGCAGCCCGGCAGCTCCCCACCTCCTGCCCCAGGGCTTCCCTGTTGATGCTGAGACATGAAAGTGCATCCACCTGGAGCAAATCCACGTGCCTCCTGCAAGTGCAGGGAACATATGCAACGCGGGGCAGACGTGTGATAGAGGGAGCACGAGCTGGGTGACGGGATTCTCCATTCTGCTCCATATGGGCTGCACAGAGAGGTGGGGACTTCTGCAGCCTCGCGCCCACAAGATAGAGCAGTCAGGTCAGTCAGTCTTGATGCCAAAGGATGGTCAGCTCAGTAACATGCTTATATACTGTTAGGAAAAATATTAAGATATTCAAAATTCAAAAAATGACTGTTAGAGTAATAGAACTAAGAGTATTTTCTCAGGACGCCTGGTGGCTCAGTCAGTTAAGTGTCTGCCTTTGGCTCAGGTCATGATCCCAGGGTCCTGGGATCGAGTTCTGCGTCGGGCTCCCTGCTCGGCAGGGAGTCTGCTTCTCCCTCCGCCTGCCGTTCCCCCTGCTTGTGCGCTCTCTCTCTCTCTGTCAAAAGAATAAATAAAATCTTTAAAAAAAAAAAAAGAGTATTTTCTCATTTCCTAACTTTCTAATAGATGGCTTTCCTGCTCTTAAAATAAATACACATACACACACCCACACCCACACCCCCCCCCCCACACACACACAACCAACCCTAAAACCCGCTCTAGCTCTATTCTGCAGTGTTTGCTACATGCACTGTGCAGGAGAGTGCCACCTGCCTCCACATTAATCTCCTCAGTAATCACAATTATCTCCTTTCTGGTGAATGTGATGAAGTCCGACTAAAGGTCTCTAATTCTTCTGGCTCTTCATGTTCTCATAAATAATAAAACAGGGCTCCATGACAACGAGTACATGAAAAGTTTGTACCACCTCAAAGCAGTCCTAAACTCTTCAGATTTTTAAGCTAACAAAGTACTGTGGGCACACAGTTATCTGGGCTTAAGTGACGCGTTACAATCACTTGGTTCCATGGAGTAAGACCATCTATGCTTGGATGGTACTTACAAATGCTTCCTCATCTGACCAGTGCTGCTCCTCCTTCAGCTGTTTCCAAAGATGTTTCTCCTCTGGGAAGCCTGCTCTGAGCACTTCCCTTCCTGGAGGGCCCAGGCATTTGCCCCACCAGAGCTTTTCCCACACCGTGTGGTCTTTCCCACACTCCACACTTCAGTTCCTCAAAGGCAAGGATGCCATTTTGTTCATCACAGTGTGGCCAGAGCTTCTCAGAGTGCCTGGCACACACCAGACAATCAAAACATGTTCAGAACTGAAAAATATATTGTAATCAAGAAAATCTTTCGTTAGGATCTTTCTGGAAGAAAGGGCAAGGCCCACACACTCCCTCAGGAAAGGTTGACTTGTTTCAAGACCAGAAATGGAACAACTTAACCAGTGCCAAGTTTATAAATGAGGAAACTAAAGCTAGAGAGCCTAGGCCAATGGTCCAAAGCCTCCCAGTGAGTTGGCGACAGCCCTCATTCTCAGTGCATCATCTTTCCTTGACACGGCACAATGCCACCTTCTCCTGTATGACTTTATGACAGTGCCCACCGTCCCCGCCCTCACCTCACCCTTCCAATCAGATCATACACTCGTCCTCCTCTTCCTTCTATCTTCCCCTAGTTAAACCCTGGACTCAGCAGACAGAGGAATGCCCATCAAGGGCTATTAAATGAAACTGAAACCTAAGATGTCTATTTTCCAGAGTCTTCTGTGAATTATGTTTCTGGTATGATCAGTACCTGGTTTCTTACACAATTTGCCGTCCAGTCAAATTAGAATATTACCCCTTCTCTTTGGGGTCCTAGGGGTGGGGTTAGATAAATGGTTTGTGTTGTCTTTAGATATGAATAGGATTATATATTATCTTATTAGGGAGTTGATATTTTTAAAATTCACTGCCATAAATAACATGGGTTCATTTTGACAAACCTTTTGGGGATCATAATTAATTAGGAGGTTTGAATCTCCTTTATGTGTAATCTACTACAATGTTCAGAAGGCTTGTTTACTTGTTTCTTCATTGATTTAGGTTAAAAAAAGTCATCAGCTGAGCATACAGAAGGTGTTGAGGGCAGGTTACTCGTCTTCCTTTCCCTTTAACACCCTTCCTTCCTTCTACTCTGCTTCTACAGACCACTCGCACATGCATGCCACCGCAGTAATGCCAAAATTGCACTCCTACTATTTAGCTTTTACTGCCCACCAAATAACCCCAAACCTTAGTGGCTTAAAATAACAACAACTTATTACTTCTCACCACCCATTGGTCAGCTGGGTATTTCTACTGATCTGTCCAGGCTTCTCTGATCTCAGCTGGGCTCACTTATGCATCTGTGGTCAGCAGGTGGGTCAGCCACAGACTGAATAGCGTAGGATGGCCTCTCGCACATGTCTAGTCAATGGGGAGACAGGCATGAGCGGGCCACGTATCTCATCATCCAACAGGCTAATCCAGGCTTGCTCAAGATAGCAGTAAAGTCCCAGGAGCAAGAGTCAAGTTTGCACGGCCTCTAGAGGCCCCGACTGAGAACTTGCACAATATTGCTTCTGCCATATTCTGTGGGCCAAAGCAAGTTATAAGGCTAGCCCAGATTCAAGAGGTGGAGAAACTGATTTTGCCTCTGGATGGGATTGCGGCAAAAAACAAGTGTGGCCATTTTTGGATTCTACTACATCCACCAATGTAAATCAATGCCAGTGTTGCAAAGCATATTGATCAGAGACTTGATGAGAATGTCCTTTCTGCAGAATGTGTCCTTTAATAGAATTCCTTGATTCCAGATCAGATCAGCAAAGCAATCTTCCACTCATCGTTAACAAAGCAATGCGGAATTGACTTCATTAAGCAAAATCTGGAATTAAAGTTTACCTGCGATGATAAGATTTTGTCTGAATAGGAACTGCAGCCTTCTGCATGGCATGTAACGCCAAGCCTTCTGACCTAAAAATGGGGAGCCAGAAGTCGGACACCCACATAGGCTGGGTCGGCATAATGGTGGTACAGTCAGACACAGGACAGAGAAACACAGGGAGTTTGACACAGCAGCGCTCTTCCTACAACCAAGGCAGAAAGTGGGGACCTGAAAAGTTAAAGCATTCACTGTGCTTACCCCTGTAGAGGCCTTTATCCCACTATATAGCAAAGATCGGATTAACTTCCCTCCCCCACTAGATTCCTGGTTTCTTTGGGACATGAATAAATCTTTTAAATCCATATTTCTGCATGTAATACAGAGCCTGACTGTTGAAGGAAAGGAGAGAGAGAGTTATTTCTGTACTCAGAAAAAGACTAACCCGATATAACCACATTTATATTTTTAAATGAATCTTTGCAAATACTCAGAAATTCTCCCATATGAAAAATTATAGAAGTACTGGTGAAGATAAGTGACTCCTTACAAAAACAGAAATGCTACTATTCAGCTTAAATCAGAAGGAAGAAGTTGGTGATATTCAAATTATAATCCAGAGGAAAGAAGATGGAGAAATGCATGTTTTTGCTTTATAAGTCAAGAGAAACCCTTAGACTTTCAAAAACTTGAATCTAAATTTTCAACTCACAATTAAATACTTAAAAGTATATATGCAGGGCACCTGGGTGGCTCAATCGGTTGAGCATCCAACTCTTGGTCTCAGTTCAGATCTTGATCTCAGGGTCATGAGTTCAAGCCTCAAGTTGGGCTCCACACTGGGCATGGAGCCTCCTTTTAAAAAAAGTATAGGGGCGCCTGGGTGACTCAGTCGTTAAGCGTCTGCCTTCAGCTCAGGTCATGGTCCCAGGGTCCTGTGATCGAGACCCGCATTGGGCTCCCTGCTCTGAGGGAAGCCTGCTTCTCCCTTTCCCATTCCCCCTGCTTGTGTTCCCTATCTCGCTGTGTCTCTCTCTGTCAAATAAATAAAAAATATTTTTTAAAAAAAAAAGTATATATATAATATTAACTTTCTTTTTTAAAAAAATATTTATTTATTTATTTATTTATTTGAGAGAGAGAGAGAATGCGTGCACACAGCGGGAGGGGCAGAGGGAGGGGAGAGAGAATCTCAAGCAGACTCCCCACTGACCAAGGAGCCTCAGGTGGGGCTTCATCTCATGACCCAGAGATCATGGCCTGAGCCAAAATCAAGAGACGGACGCTTAACCTACTGAGCCACCCGGCGCCCCGCAATATTAACTTTCTAACTGTTCTGTGGCGCAAAGATGTAAGAAGTTTTCTTCATGTTATTATAATTATTTATAGTCAGTCTCGTTCCAAAAAGGAATTGAAGTGGCTTGTAAAGATACTACATTTTGAGATTTAATACAATAATAACAAGCACGTAAGGAACTGGGAAGAAAGTAAAATTAAAAATAGAAACCCGAAAATGAAGCCAGAATGAGGTTAATAAATGCCACCAGGGCTAATGCATTTTGGTAGAAGCAGCGGTAATTTGGCTTGGAGCTTCCTAGACACCAATCTAAGTGGAACCTGTGGTCCCTAAAACTACTTCTCATGGTCAGAGCTCAAAACAAAGTCAGGAAAAGTGGAAATCATTACTGGTGTGCACCCTGAGAGTAAGTTCTCCAGGATGTTCCTAAGAAGGATCCCATGTAATGTTCTAAACAAGAGCCTGAAGAACATCCACAGGAAGATGTAAGAACATACAGCCTAATGGCACAGTGTGAAAGCACTATGGAGTAAAATCAAATTGATAATACACATCAAACACTGTGCCCTCTTATAACTTTCATCTAACCCCAAACTAAAGTTGAGAGACTCACAGGCTCTCTGTCCTTCCAGGAGGTGTCTGTAAATCCTGAATCTCTCGAATGAGGAACTGGTTAATATCACCAAATCCTGTAGGTAGTCTGTCCTCTTCTAATCCATTCTCCAAACCACAGCCAGGCTGCTTTCCCTGAAACAAGGCTCTGTTTTCAAACACCTCAAAGGCTCCCAAAGGACTCCGCATGAATTCCACACCCCTCATCACTGAATACAGACTTCCACCTCCACATCTCCAGCCTCAACTCTGACTGTTCCCTTCGTCCCAGCTCTTTGACATTGCTGAAAAGGTCATGCTCTCTCTCGCCTCTGGATCTGTGCTCTTCCCTCTATCTGGAAAGCTCTCGCCTGCAACCCTTTGCTCCTTGCCTTTGTCTGGGGCTTCTCCTCCATGTCTGGGGCTTCTCCTCCATGTCTCAAGCTAGAAGATGCACCTTCCAGACAGCCATCTTTACCTGTCTAGCTCACTCACTGGACCGGAAGCTCCACAAGGGCAGCTCCTGGCTCTGTCTTTGCTCACCGTTGCATTCCCAACGCCTAGCACAGTGTCAGGTGCAGACTGGCTGTTTCACTGATGTTCGCAGAGTTAGTTGATTGATTAATTAATATTGATTATCACAGGCAAGTCCTCGGAGCCAATTATTCTGTGTTACTACTTAAAGGAAGATCCATTTACCTTCTTCAAGAAGCAACAAGTTTAGGAGCACCTGGGTGGCTCAGTCAGTTAAAGCATCTGCCTTCAGCTCAGGTCATGATTTCAGGGGATCAAGCCCCGTGTGGAGCCCCTTCGGAGCCCTGCACCCAGCAGGGAGTCTGCTTCTCCCTTTCCCTCTGTGCTCTCTCTCACTCTCTCTCAGGTAAATAAATAAAAATCTTAAAAAAAAAAAAAGCAACAAATTTAAAGATATTTTTGAGGATGTGTAATGAATATTAACAGCACACATGCCTACATTAAAGAACATACCATCTCTGCCACCTCCATCCAGGCAAGCTCAAAGTTTTCTTCAGAAAACAAGTCATAATTCACTCCTAAACAAGGATATATGCATAACTGAAGCCCCAACGTCTCATGCCTTTCTAACATTATCATGACTTTAGTATGAGAAAAACGTTAAAGTGCTGTTGCCAAATCTTACATTGCAAAAAGTTTTACAAGATATTTGACATTGCACTTTTCAAGAAAGTATCTGTTTGAGGATCTTACCTCATCATGCAACAGTAAAAAAAAAAAAAAAAGCCAAGAGACTTAGATCCTATCTTTGTCACTAACTCTGTGATCATGGGGGTCATGATCAGGCTCATTCCTTGACTGGAGCTGGACAACTCAACGCTCCACTCTGAGCCTGACTCTGCCCGGGGACTGAACAATCGAGCTTAATCCCTGGGCGCACCCCTCCTGCCCCCAGAGCTACCAACCTAGCAAGGTGGGCTTCCCTTCTCTTACTTTCACATCAGCCTAAGGTTGTCAGCTTCCATCTGTTTTGTTTATTGAGTTTTTGCATAATATTTCATT